CTGCAGGTGACCTTATTCCAGAGGAGCAACCAATTACCTCCATACCTGCAGATCGTCCTCTCCTCACATACCAGCGTCGTCAGCCTGCACCTCCTCCGACTTTGCCTCTTGATGACTCATCGCCCTTTCCCGTCGGCTCTTCTCCTCCGGATCCTCCATCAGAGACTCCTCCCATTGCCATTTGGAAAGGTATTCGATCCACTCGAAATCCTCATCCCCTTTATTCTTTCTTGAGTTATGACAGACTTTCTTTACAACATTTTACTTTTGTTTCTAGTCTCTCTTCTGTTTCCATCCCTAAAACCACAGGTGAAGCACTATCTCATCCAGGGTGGCGCCAGGCGATGCTTGATGAAATGCAGGCACTTCACTCCAATGGCACTTGGGATCTTGTTCGTGCTCCTCCGGGGAAGTCTGTTGTTGGTTGTCGATGGGTGTTCATAGTTAAAGTTGGTCCTGATGGCACTGTTGATCGCCTTAAAGCTCGCTTAGTGGCCAAGGGATACACACAGATCTTTGGTCTTGATTATGGGGATACCTTTTCTCCTGTTGCTAAGATGGCTTCTGTTCGCCTGTTTCTTGCCCTTGCCGCCATTCATCACTGGCCCCTTCTCCATCTTGATATTAAGAATGCTTTTCTACATGGTGACTTGTAGGAGGAAGTTTATATGGAGCAACCACCAGGTTTTGTTGCTCAGGGGGAGAGTTCTGGAATGATATGTAAACTTCAGAAATCTTTATATGGCCTGAAGCAATCTCCTCGGGCCTGGTTTAGCCGCTTTAGTTCAGTTGTTGAATCCTTTGGCTTAATCAGAAGCAAATCCGATCATTCTGTCTTTTACCGGCATAGCTCTTCTGGTCAGTGCGTTTATCTCCTGGTCTATGTTGATGACATTATCATTACAGGCAGTGATCAGACCGGGATTGATCAGTTGAAAAAGCATTTATTCAATCAATTTCAGACCAAAGATCTTGGCAGACTTCGATATTTCTTGGGGATCGAAGTTGCACAGTCTAGGCGGGGCATTTCCATCTGTCAGAGGAAGTATGCACTGGATATCCTAGATGAGACTGGCATGTTAGGCTGTAAACCCATTGATACACCTATGGACCCCAATGTTAAGTTATTACCAGGACAGGGGGAGCCACTGCCAGATCCTAGTCGCTACCGCCGACTAGTTGGAAAATTGAATTATCTTACTGTGACAAGGCCAGATATGTCCTTCGCAGTGAGTGTTGCAAGTCAATTTCTTGATTCTCCATGTGACTCCCATTGGGATGCAGTTATTAGAATTCTCCGATATATTAAAAAGGCGCCAGGAAGAGGTTTATTATATACAAATAAAGGGAGTTCAGAGATCTCTAGTTATTCAGATGCTGACTGGGCAGGTTCTCCTTCAGATAGATGATCCACCTCATGGTATTGTGTTCTCTTCGGAGGAAATTTGATCTCTTGGAAGAGTAAGAAGCAAACTGTGGTCGCCAGATCCAGTGCGGAGGCAGAATATCGGGCAATGGCAAATGCAACCTATGAGCTCATCTGGCTGAGACAATTGCTGAAGGAACTCCATCTCTGTGAACAAAGGCCTATGAAGCTCATTTGTGACAACCAACCGCTTTGCATATATCCTCTAACTCAGTCTTTCATGAGAGGACCAAGCATATAGAAATTGACTGTCATTTTGTTAGAGAAAAGATCCAGTCAAGGGAGATCGAGACAACATTTGTCAATTCCAATGATCAACTTGCGGATGTATTCGCTAAAGCTCTTAGAGGTCCCCGAATAGATCATATTTGTAACAAGCTGGGAGCTTTTGATATATACGCACCAGCTTGAGGGGGAGTGTTAGAAATAATATTAATTTATTATTATTAGAATAGTCTAGATTGTGGGCTTGGCCCATTAGGTCTTTTAGTCTCTATAAATAGAGAGCCTCCTTGTATAGACTTACACACTTGAATATACAATATATTTCAGATTCAATTGTTCTCATGTTGAGCGCGACATTGTTATTTTCTTTGCATACATTGGTTTTCTTGTGTTTTTACTAGAACTGCATTCTAGAGTAGGCGTGATTGTATGGTGCAATAAAATACATACTGTTAAGTGCAATAAAATACATACTGTTAAGGGAAAAGAAAATAAGAAACATTTTTGTGAAATATGTGTGTTGGGCTACATAGCAGAGACTGAATAATATAGGTGAAAAACAATAACTAAAAAGATACTAGGTACCCTAATTACTGTGAATACATGATTTGATTAGCTTATACAAAGAATTTAGATTTTAGACATTAGTAATAAAATGAACCTAGACACTATTTATATTACTAACAGTCCCCCTCAATTTCAGCATTACTAATACAATGAATTAGTTCGTATTTATATTACTAACATTCCCCCTCATTCTGGAGCATATAGTCATACGCACCAAGATTGTTACAAATATATAACGTAATGAGATCCTCTTAAAGCCTTAGTGAAGATATCTTCTAGATGATCATTTGAGTCTGTTGAGATATATAAAACCATTAATGTAGCCTCACCCAACAACTTAAGCTTTTGAGTTGAATTGGTTCTTTACATGATATCAGAGCCTCGGTGTACCGGGTTTGATCCTCACCCCCCACTTTCTTTCTAGTGGAATTTCTTTCTTCGCACAGGTAGGTGGGTCTGTGCATCGTCCACCCTTTAAGCCCAGTGGGCTCTCGTGTGAGGGAGTGTGTTGAGATATATAAAACTATTAATATAGTCTCACCCAACTTGCTAGAACAGTAACCGTTGACAACGGTCAATAGCAACGATGATCTAAACAAATAGTGGTCCTCTTAGTCCAAAAGGTCTTCGGAAAAATTTTCCGGTGGCAGCGAGAAGAAAAAATAAGGGTTTTGTTTAAAAACGGTAGTTGCGGAAGCAGAGCCCTCAGGATCGAAAGCTTTGATACCAAATCGAAAGAAATATTTGTATATAATTTAATTGTGCAATAGCTGTACAAGAGTTCTCTATTTAAAGAGACTAAAAGACCGAATAGGCTAAGCCCAAAATACACTTCCAGAGTATTTTAGCTAATACAAATAATAAATAAATAATTCTAATATTTACAATATATATATATATATATATATATATGGGTAATGTTTTCCTCCTTTCACATGTCACAAGGAATTTTTCTACAGAGACACAAAAGTGGGCCTATCAATTTTTTTATTTTTCTTTTATTTAAAAATGGTGGACCCCACAATTGGTTGTCTCTATGAAATGACCTAAGAATTTTTTCGGTAGCATAATATTTGTTTTTCCCTATATATATATATATATATATATGTATATATATATATATATATATACATACATATATATATATATATATATATATATATAGAGAGAGAGAGAGAGAGAGAGAGAGGGTTAAGATCTTTTGACTCCAGTGTAAGATTCAAAAATCTTACTATCCATCTCAATCGGTGATTTGCATCGATCTGACTGTTGTAATTTATTGAGTTATATCTATTAATTAATTATTGATTTCAAATAAATCACAGATGGACGAAAATCAATGACGATGATGAGGAGTAAGACTTCTTAAATTTTCAGTGGAGTCAATAATTCCTATTCATATATATATATATATATATATTTTTTTTTCCTAGTACTTTTACAATTTCAGAGTAAAATAATGTGACATTAATATATTTGAGAATATGGAAATATGAAATAATATGTTGTGTATTAAACTGATACAAAGAGATACAATATATAGAGACCTTAATGGGCTTAAGTGAGAAGCCCAGACCTAACCCAAATCCTAAATAAGGAAAAGAATTTTTACAGATAAGAATACAATCTATACAAATCTATGCAGATTATATTTCCTGTTCTAACATTTCCCCTCAAGCTGGTGCGTATATATTGTGAGTACCTAGCTTGTTACAAATGTATTCAACTCGAGGACCTTTAAGAGCTTTAGTGAAGACATCCGCGAGTTGATCATTGGAGTTGACAAATGCTGTTTTGATTTCTCCCGACTAAATCTTTTCTCAAATGAAGTGACAATCGATCTCTATATGTTTGGTTCTCTCATGAAATATAGGATTAGATGATATATGTAGTGCAGCTTGATTGTCACAAATGAGTGTCATGGGTTGTTTCTGTTCACAAAGATGAAGTTTCTGAATCAATTGCTTTAACCAGATTAGCTCATAGGTAGCAATTGCCATTTCCCGGTACTCAGCTTCTGCACTAGATCGAGCAACAACAGTTTGTTTCTTGTTCTTCCAATAAATTAAGTTTCTTCCAAAGAAGACACAATAGCCTGAAGTAAAACGCGTATCAGAGGGTGATCCTGCCCAATCGGCATATGAATAACCACAAATTTCTGTATTTCCCTGATCTGAATGCAATAAGCCTTTCCTTGGTGCTCCTTTGATATACCGAAGGATCCTCACAACAGCATCCCAATGAGAACCACATGTGAGTCAAGGAATTGACTAGCCGTACTAACAGGAAAAGAAATGTTCGGCCTAGTCACAGTAAGATAATTGAGCTTCCCAATCAACCTCCGATAACGACCAGGATTAGATAACGGCTCTCCCTGTTCGGGCAATAATTTGATAGTAGGATCATGGGTGTATCATCTAGTTTACATCCTAACATACCAGTCTCTTCTAGGATATCTAAGGCATACTTCCTTTGACAGATATAAATGTCCTTTGTTTGAAATTGACTGAACAAATACTGTTTTAACTCGTGAATTCCAGCTTGATCACTCCTAGTGAGAAGATGTCATCGACATAGACTAACAAATAGATGCACTTATCAAAATATGTGAACCTATAAAACACAAAATGATCAAATTTATTGCGGATTAAGCCAAAAGCCTGAACGACAGAGCTGAAAAGACTAAACCATGCCCGAGGAGACTGCTTGAGATCATATAAGGATTTACGAAGTCAGCACACCTTCCCAAACTCCCCCTGACCAACAAAGCCAGATGGTTGCTTCATGTAAACTTCTTCTTGTAAATCACCATGAAGAAAAACATTTTTAATGCCGATTTGAAGGAGTGACCAGTGACGAACGGCAGCAAGGCAAGAAACATGCGAACATACGCTATCTTAGGGACCAGAGAGAATGTGTCACTATAGTCAAGGCCGAAAATTTGAGTAAAACCCTTGGCAACTAAGCGTGCCGTGAGACAATCAACATGGCCATCAGGCCCAACCTTGACAGTAAAGACCCAACGACAACCAACAATAGACTTCTCCGGAGGAGCAGGAACAAGATCCCAAGTGCCATTGGAATGAGGTGCAGTCATCACATCAAGCATCGCTTGGCGCCACCCTGGATGGGAAAATGCTTCACCTGTGGTCTTAGGAATAGAAACAAAAGAAAGACTAGAGACAAAGGTTAAATGAGGAGTAGAAAAATGGTCATAGCTCAAAAAAGTATAGAGAGGATAAGGGTTACGGGTAGTATGTATAAATTTTCTTTGGGCAATGGGAAGAGCATCTGGTGAAGGAGTCGGAGGGGAAGAATCAACAAGAGAGGGCGATAAGTCGGCCAGAGTCAAGTCTACAGGAGGCATAGTTTTACGATGCTGATAGGTGAGAAAAAGACGGTCCGTAGGGATGGAAGCAATAGGTCACTCATCTGGGATAGAGTCATCTGCAGTTGGTAAAGAGAAGTCAATAAAAGGAATATGAAGAACATGATCAACCTGTGACAATTGAGATGAAATAGAATGAAAGAGTTGTTGATCAAGAAAAGTGACATCAGCGGAAACAAGAAAAATACAGGTGCAACCAAAGAAATGTGGAGATAAAGAATAGAGAGAAGCATATAGAAATAACGAGTTATAGGGAATGTCATTGTTAAGCATAGATGAAGGCATGCGGTTGTTGAAAAAACAAGAGGCAAGGACTGTATCGGCCCAGAAGAGGAACATGCATGTGAATAAGAAGAGTCCGTGCAGTTTCAATGAGATGTCTGTTTTTATGTTCGGCCACTCCATTTTGTTGTGGAGTGTGAGGACAAGTAGTCTGGTGTAAAGAACCCTGTGTTGCTAAGAGATTAGAAAAATCAATAGAAACATATTTCTTAGCATTATCACTACGTAAAATACGAATTGAAGCATGGTTGTTAGTATCGCACGATACGCGATACGTATGGTGCGATACGATACGATACAGTGGCAAATCGATACGGATCGCAATAGCAGATCGTTTTTGGCATGAATCGTGATTTGGAATCGTGGAATCAAACGATTCGGTTGTGAATCGTGTATCAAAATTTTTTTGCGATTCAAAATATAAAAAAAATATAAAAAAAAAACACTCAACAGTCGCAGGATTTGGAACGGCATGCTGTTATCTGAAAGGTTGTTTGCTTCAGAAAAATCAGGGATTCAAAATCCCATTTAAAAAACAAAAGGAAACAAGAAGTCAAGAACAGAAAGGTGCGAAGGTGCAAACTGCGAAACAGAAAGAGAACAACAAAGACAAAAAATAAAAAACGATATAGAAGGAGAGACGACTAGCAGAGAGGTGCGAAAGCAACAAAACAGAAGCCTACTTGCAGAGAGGTGCGAACAGAGACGACTTGCAGTGACTTATAAGAAGCAACGAAACAGAAGGAGAGACTTGCAGAGGAGAAAACGCCTTGCAGAAATTTCCAAAGCGTAGCGCTCAAGAAGACTTGTAGACTCTGTGTAGAAGAAGACTTGCAGAGGAGTAGATTCAGAGAGCGTGTAGAAGAAGACTCACAAAAGGCAGAGTAGATTCAGAGAGCGTGTAGAAGAAGACTCACAAAAGGCAAAGGAGTACGAGTACTATTTTTGAAATGGGTGATTTGATTTGTGATTGGAATTTGTAAATTTTAAATATATTAAAATATTATAGTGATGATTCAGCTGAATTGAAAATGTATGAGAGGATCAATGGAATACATTATATTATTATAATATTATGAAAAAGCTGCAGTGCTGAAGTCGTTCTCAATTTAAATACATTATATTTTTTTTCTCTCTTTTACAGTAACAGAAATAATAAAAATGGCTCCAAAGAAGAAATCCCAAAAACAGAAGGATATAACTTGGGATCATTGTAAATCCCTAGGGAATAGGTTGAATGTTAAATGTAACTATTGTCCCAAAACAATGTGGGGAGGAGCATTTAGAATGAAGCACCATCTAGCTGGAACACACAAAGAAGTTGCTCCATGCCAACAAGTGCCGGAAGAGATAAGGGATCTATTTAAAAAATTATTAGAGGATGCAAGAGATGATGATGAACTAGAGTGCTTCGATGATGATTCACAAAAAAAAGGGAGCATCGATAGTTTTATGATAAAAGGAAAAAGTGGAAGTGGCTCATCTGCTATGAAACAACAAACTATAAATTCAATGGTGAAGGATAGAGATTTGGTGGTTCGAGATATTTGTCGATGCATATATGGCAATGCATTTCCATTTAATTTAGTTAAGAGTCCACTATTTATTAATATAGTGAAGTCTGTTAGTGAATATGGTAGAGGCATAAAACCACCAACTTATCATGAAGTGAGGGTGTCATATTTGATTTTTTAATTTGGATTTATATGATATTATATATTTTTAAGTTATTTTTAATTTGTTTCTGAATCTTACGATTCGATACGATTCACGATTCACGATACAAAAAAGCAGCCGAATGATTCACGATATGTATTGCGATTCAACAACCATGAATTGAAGCACCAAATTATTAATCTCAGCAGAAATTTTTTTATAAATAGAGAATAACTCAGAACGATTCTTCATTAAATAAATCCAGGTACAGTGTGAATAATCATCAATAAAAGTAACAAAATACCGAAACCCTAAAACCGACAAACTACGACTTGGACCCCAAATATCTAAATGAATAATTGAAAAAGAAGCATCAACTCGTTTATTGACTCGACTGGCAAAGGAGGAGCGTGTGTGCTTCCCTTGCTGACATGGCAGATAATCTAAAGACTGAAGACCGGATAAAACAGGAACCATCTGCTGTAGTTTTGAAAGACTAGGATGACCGAGGCGACTGTGGATGAGTTGTGGAGATTCTGTGAGGAAAAAAGCCACTGAAGGACGAGGCACAACTATATAGAACAGACCCCGTGACTCATGGCCTACTCAAATCGTCTTTCCCATACCCGGATCCTACACAGAAACAGAATGGTTTGAGAAGGTAACATTGCAAGTAAGAGAGTTGATCAATTTACTAACAAAAATTAAGTTATAGGGATGTCAGAAATGAAATAGACAAATGTCAAGGTCAAAGAAGAGGTTGAACAAACTTGTCCAATCCCATGAACAACGGCTTTAGTGCCATCAGCAAGAGTGAAAGAGGGTAAATGATCAGAATAAGTAAGAGATGCAAAGAGTTCCTTATTACCACAGAGGTGATTAGTAGCACATGAGTCAAATATCCAAGGACCAAGTGATGTAGAATGAGAAACACAAGCAACAAGATTACCAGTATCTGGAGCAGAAGGCTGAGACTGAGGAGAAGCCTTCCTAAGAAGAGTCTGGAGTGCTGCATAGTCTGCAAAAAAGAGAGAGATTGTACAAGATGAAACAGTATCTGACTGAGCTATATACGCAGCATACGAAGTTCGCAGTTGAGGATACTTTGTGTAACAATGCTCCTCATAATGACCAAGTTGCTGACAATAATTATAACGAAGTTGTTGACCATGTCTGCCCTGACCACTACCACGACCACCTCCACTGTTCCCACGAAAGTCAGTACGGGTAACAAGAGTAGTGGAATCAACAACAGAAGATGATGAAATAGCAAATTTCTTGTTGAGGTTCAGAAGGCGCTGATAAGTCAGTGATAAATCAGGATCCCCACTAGTCAAGATAGTATTACGGACATTATCATATTCCTCGGGAAGACCAAAAAGTGTGGCAACATTAAAGAGACATTCCACCTGTTTCCTATTCGAGAAGTATCAGTAGGGTAGGGCAAGATAGCTAAGTATACCTGCATCAAAGTTCGACTTTTGCCAACATGCGTTTCCATCTGAGTGTCGATGATTTGCGCAAATCCATAAGTTGAGACATGATAAAATAGAGCTGCTAAACATCATTAGTGTAGAGGTGTTTTGCTTCCTCCCACACTTCATTGCATGTTAGAAAAAGTAGAAAATATCCAAAACTATTGGATCAATAGACAGTCAAAGAATACTCAGAAGGTTGTCAATTCTTTTCCAATCAGATTTTTCTTCCTTAAGAATATCAGTAGATTTAACTGTGAGATGTCGCCCATGCCCTTGTCCAAAGAACCAGACTGGAACAGAGGTGACCCAATTCTTGTAATTAATAGAACCCTTTAGTTTGGAGGAGGTAATGGGCCCAACATTAATGGAGATGATACCCGAGGAACTTTTGGCAGGAGGAGGAGGAGAATTAACCTCTGAGTGAGCAAGAGAAGTTTCTGCCGTTAAAATAAATCACAAAGGTACAAAACCAAGTGAATAGAAACAAACCGATGGCCAATTAAGAATAGAGACACGCCGAAAGTGAGACCCACGAAGAACCAAGGGCAAATCTTGAAAGGGGAGGAGAAATCGATCTGTTCTGTCCTAGAACGGCTGGATAAGGGCGCCGGAACAATGCACACGCGCCAGTGAGAGGTGGCGCATGAGCACCACGTGCAGAGGGAAGAAGCCGCTTGTGGGGGCTTCGACGGTGATGGGTCTTCCACAGAACAGGTCGCCAGAGAGAGGAGGTTCTGAATACAGGTGTTCCGGTTGAAATCATCGTTGGAAAAGTTCTCCGGTGACCGTGAACAGTGACAAACGGTGATTCTGGCGGCGAACTGAGGTTCTGACTGGTATAGAAAGCAATCTGAAGGGGAACACGACTTCGATGACTTGCTGGAAGGACACACGACAAAGAAAAAGAGAACAACTAAGTAGGCTTAGGTTTTTAAGCGAAAGCGAGCTTTTAAGCGAAAGCGAGGGTCCCAGAACAAAAGAGCTTTGGTACCAACTTGAGAATATGGAAATATGAAATAATATGTTGTGTATTAAACTGATACAAAGAGATACAATATATAGAGACCTTAATGGGCTTAAGTGAGAAGCCAAGACCTAACCCAAATCCTAAATAAGGAAAATAATATTGACATATAAGAATACAATCTATACAAATTATATTTCCTATTCTAACAAATATCATTATTTCTTCCCTTTTGTTTGACTAAAACTATTTATTTGTAGCATATTAAAATCTTCAACCTATTAATTTTATATATAATCTTCTAAAATTAAAATTCTTAGAAATTCGAATTGAATACAGGT